CATATCATGGCACTCAAAGGATTGTGGGTAACCATATAACTCATATTAAGAGAAATATGGTTCCTGTAGGAAGCAGCATCCAGTTTCCTTAACTTTCTTTTCAGGTTCTTTTAATTAAGATGATTTCTTCTATTGTGAAGCGCCTTTTCCCATTTTTGTAACAACAAACTACTTTTAGGAGTATAATACTTCTTAACTGAAACTCACAAGGGTGTGGTACCACAATGTTTCATTAGTGCTCTTATGCAGACAGAGAGGCTTGTAATTCAATGCAGTTTATTTATATGGCACCAATTCACGAAACATGTAATCTGGAAGCAGTTGGCAGAGACAATTCAATCAAATTATACAGGCTATGTTGTGCATTAATCAGCTGTTGAGCACGCTCTCTGACACGATATCCCATTCCGGTCAGGAGCAGCAAGATGCTGCCTGTGACAAATCCCTGTTGAGGCTTGAGCCTCGGTCTATTGAGGTAAGCATTGAGAAAGTAGAGCCCTAATTGGATAATATGCCAAAATAGGTCACTTATACGCCAAAATATGTCGCTTCCAGTGAGGCTAAACCTCTTAGAGGGTCTATGGAGCAGGGGCAGGTGATTGGCAAACATACTTAAAGGCATAGAGGACGATATTTATTTCATGGTCCTCCTAATTATCAATCAGTCGGTTCTACTTGCTCGTCCCGAGTTAGCTATCTTTTTCTTCACATGCGCACTTTCAGGCGTATATCTGTGCTGAGCTGTGGTTTTAGTGCCTTTTTTTTAAGTGGAGCGGGCGGGACCTCCACAATACCTTTAAGTGTGCGATGGACTGGCGAGCTATCTAGGGTGTACCCCACCTCTCACCCGTAGACAGCTGGAAACAGGCACCAGCACCCCTCACGACCCTGCTTAGAATAAGCGTGATGGATGGATGGATGGATGGATGGATGGATGGATGGATGGATGGATGGATGGATGGATGGATGGATGGATGGATGGATGGATGGATACCTTTAAGTATTTTTGACTGACTGCTGCCAGACAGCGAGGAGGTTTACCTCATGAGTCAAGAGAGTGACCATTCAGTCAGAACAGTCCTCTTATGCTGAACTCTTGCTGTGGTTTCTGGAGTTTATTATTTCAGGGCGCTTCCTAACAGCCTTTTTCACCCATTGTAGAAATGTGTTTTTTGTGTTTAAACATTTGTTATTGCGATATGTGACATTTGGATTTATTTAACACCATTGACCCTCCCCTGTTTCAGAGAGCAGCAGTCGCAACTGCTTGTGTTGCTGTATCCTCACTTCACTGGTTATTTTCCATCATCAACCCCCCCTTTCATCAGTGTTATCGCCACTTGCAGGCAATATAATAACCCTATTGCTGTCAGCACCATCACTGAGCTCTCTATAACATCTCACTCTGGGTCCAGAGAGTGTCCAATTTCCTTTGTTCTTGTCCATTTTCTCCCAAACCACTACAATATGGCATCCATGTATCTGTGCTTGTCTGTTAGCACCTGGCACTGTGGGCAAGACTCAGTGCAGAACTCCTCGTCTGTCAAACCAAGCTCTTCTCCATCAGACACCATGTGGAACTCACCCGCTTGTAACCAAATCCAAACTGAGACATACAAAACAGACAGAGGGACAGTAACCCACTATCAGTTCACCTGTCAACACTGTCCTCTAAAGGTCATGCTTACATGTAGTAGTTAAATGAAAAGTACTTGACCAATCAGCAACCGTCAGCTAATTACTGTCATTCAAAGCCTTACAGTAGCTGCGATGTCAGTCTAACTTGACAGGGGCTCTATGAAGAATTTCATACCCCATGTATGGTTGTACATATTGTGAAAAGTTTTACTAATGCTCTCCATGATGACCCTATCAAAACCGAGTGAAAAGGTAAATCAGGCAAAAAAACAAAACAAAATATATATATATACATATATAAACTGTTTTCTCACCCCTCGTGGGGTGGTATGTGTCCTCCTCAAGCTCGGGTCCTCTACCAGAGGCCTGGGAGTTTGAGGGTTCTGCGCAGTATCTATATATATATATATTAGGACGACATATATACATATATATATATATATATATATATATATA